GACAAGCCTGATGGAATTCAAGTCCCAGGTTCTTGTAGGTTCCTAAAGCCCAGCCCTATCTTTCCCTTTCTCAGTTTGGTGATTCCATTTCTATACCCTGGTTTATTTCAGGGACCCTTTTAGGGAGAAGGGGAGATGTCAGTGATTGGAATCAAGAGTGAGATGGTAAAATAACAAATCTTAAAATATAGGATTAGCAGAGTAAAGCTGAGGTGGGGACCAGTAATGATTCAGGGATCCAGAGCTGAATGTCAATGTTTCTGGTTATATAGTAGAAAAGCAGTGGATTGATTATCTATTGTCTCTTGAGGACCATGAGACTATAAAGATTTCAGTAGTGGGGTGCCTGGCTGGCTCAGTCCGTGGAGCATGAAACTCTTGATCTTGGGGTTGTGAGTTTAAACGCCACGTTAAGTATAGAGATTACTTAAGAATAAAATCTTAACAACAACAACAACAAAAGATTTCAGTGGAACTCAGTTTCCACCATTTATTTTGTTCTCTCTTTAAGAAAACTAATTTCTAGTTAAAGCTGGCTTACTTCCAAGTATATAGAGAACAACAGAGTCTGCTTTAAGAAAATATTTTTTTGCTTATAAGCAGTGATTTATGACCACTAGCGCTTGGATAATTGTCTTGCTAAATTGCACCAGCCAAATTCTTAACACTCTAAAATCAGGGCACTAATTTGTCAATTTGGGGTAACCTGAAATCTTATCACTCTCCTTCCCTTGTTCCACCCCATCCTTAACTTTTGCAAACTTAGTACCACTGCCTGGCACATTCTCTTCTACTAGGAAGAAAAGTTCCCTTGCTTCTACTAACATTATCATAATTCTGGTTCTCCCCCACCTCTCAAGTTTGAGCTCACATCCTGAAACTTCCCTGTGAATTCAGATCTAGATTAGGTACTTCTGCTAAGTACTCGTGAAACACTGTGTTTCTCCTATCACATAGCATATAGCATTATAACTGCTTTTTAGTCTTTCTGTACTGCTAAACTCTAAGTTGAGAGCTGGGCACATAGCAGGTGTTCAGTATGAATAACGACTCTTGTATGAATGAATGAATAGTTATAATGAATACTGAGATAATATATGTACAGTATCTGGCACATGAGCCATCAACACATTGTTTCTTGTTAGTTTTCTTTTGTGATTCATAAAATAACCCTAGAACCTGAGTTCAGCAGGGCATACTGCATTGCACTTCCGTGGGAACAGCTGCATAGGTGGAACTAGGGATCATGCTAACATGTAACCATTTGGCCAACCGTTCTAGCAGGTGCCTAATCCATTAGAACAGAAGAGCCTGGCCTTCTATGTGGGAGAGATGATCAATCTTGCTTGCCCCCATAACAGAGCATAAATTCGCTTATTAATAACCTAAACATATGGTGACTGTATCTATGAAGAATTAAAATTAAATCGAATATTCCAAGATAGAAAATTATTTACCAGGGATATTCTTAACTACAATCCAAGTAGTTACATTGAACTATTTGTACTGATAAGATCTTGCTTATAATATAAATAATCAATAACCCCTTTATATATAAGCAGTAATCATTAAAAACAACATTTCCAAACATATAAACCACAATAAAAACTAAGAATACATTTAAGGTATATGAAGCATAACTAAAAACTATGGAACTTTACTGAGGATCATAAAAATACTTGAATAAATGGAAAAATAGCCTGTGCTTTTAAAGATTCTTCAGTAGTATAAGATGCTAATTCTCCTCAAATTGTTTTATAAACAGTGACATTTCAAATAAAGTACCAAAGATTTTCTTTTGGCAAAATTTTTATTGAATAATAACATACATACAAAAAGTACATGTAACTCTACATCTCAACAAAATTTTAATTATTTTTAAATGGGTATAAGTTAAAAGTTTAACTGAAGTAAAAATGGAGGAAAATATCCCATAAAATTTCAGTTTAAAAAATTTTTAATTTTGGAGCTGGCACTCTAACATAGAAATTAGCAGAAAAGAATAGAAAGCCAAAAACAAGCTTGTGAGAACGTGTACAAATAAATGTGGTAAATGTAGCATTTCAGATTAGTGAGTTAATGATAGCATCTTTTTAAAAAATGTTTATTTATTTTGAGAGAGAGAAAGAGCATGAGCAGGGCAGGGACAGAGAGAGAGAGATCAAGAGAGAGAGAGTCCCAAACAGGCTCTGCACTGCCAGTGCAGAGCCCTATATGGGGTTCAGTCTCAGGAACCATGAGATCACGACTGAGCTGAAACCAAGAGTCAGATGCTCAATTGACCGAGCCACCCAGGTGCCGACCCCCCTTTTTAAAAAAAAAAAATTTTATTTATTTAATGATAGAAACTTTAATGGCGCTAGAATGATTGTGATATCAGTGTCTAACTAAACATTGGATTTAAAAAATAAATATGAATAAAATCAGAAAAGATCTAGAATAATATATAGCTTAAAATTTAGGATTTGTGGGCTGCCTGGGTGGCTCTGACGGTGGGGTGTCCGACTTGGGCTCAGGTCATGATCTCATGGTTCCTGAGTTTGAGCCCCTCATTGGGCTCACTGTTGTCAGTACAGAGCCCACTTCAGATCCTGTGTCTCCCTCTCTCTCTGCCCCACCCCTGTTTACTCTCTCTCTCTCTCTCTCCTCTCTCAAAAATAAATAAACATTTAAAAATATTTAGGATTTGTAAGCATTCCATTAAAAATTGAAATCATAGTAAAAAATTAATAGATGTGTCCATATACATTTAATACTTTTCTGTGGTGACCACCATAAGTGACAGACAAATGACAGGTTAGGAAAGAGTGTTATCTGCTATCTTCATTCCCAGGCAGTGTCTTTGACAGGAACGAGGTGTGCTGTACTGATTGCATGTGCAGATCTTGGAGTCTGAATATGAAATGGCCAACTTACAAGCTGTCTTAGGTTGGGTTCCCTGGAAGCTGTGGCTCAGAGGAAGAGTTTTATAAAAGTGACTTATCAAAGATGTTCTCTTCGGTGGAATCTGGAGGAATGAAGGAAGCAGGCTAAGACAAGGGGGAGAATCTAGGCAAAGACAAGGTTTCAGGTGAAGCCTCACCTCAACTTGACTTTATGGGAAGATCTGGAGCAAACGTACCATGGAATCTTCTGGCCTTAAAGCAAGCAGTCCGGGCCTTTGTATCTCCACTGCATCAGTTGGTCATTGTTTGCAGGCCATCCAGGCATTTGGGACAGGCTGAGGACAATTTTCCAGAGAAGGGTGCAACTCTGAATTGTTAGCCACCAAAGATCATGGCAGCCAAAAAATGAACGCACTAGGTGGGCAGGGGATTGAGGGATAGCATGAGTAGCATCTTGTAAAATAACTAAGTCATTCTGGTTAAGTTACTTAACTCTCTCATTATAAACTCATTTATAATGAAAACATATCTTTGATGCCATAGGGACTGTAGAGATATGGTAAGGAATAGTATATGTCAGGAAATAGTCTAACAAAAACACTCAAACATTAGCATTCAGAGAGTTTTACAACTCTAAACATTCACTAATTGCAAAATAGGAAAATTACAAAGACTGGAATTTTGTCTGCAAAATGCAAGTACAATGAATAAGTGAAGAAATAGAATTGTCCAAAACATGGAAATATTTTCTCTCTCACTGTAACTATAGAAGTACAAGCTTAAAGCAAATTACTGTTTATTTCTTATCAAAGAGCCAAAATCAAAGATAATACTCAGTATTGGCAAGGTGTCTGTGTGGGAATAGAGGAACCTCTTGCATTCCTATTAAGAGTATAAAATGACTGATTGTGTTCTGGGCATATGGGAAATCTATCTGAAGCTTTTAAATCATGTATACCTTCTATAATGGGCATTCTCATTTCCAAGAATTTATCTGCAGAAAATTTGGCCAAATACTTGAAAATACAAAGGTATATAATATTATTTTGGTATTGGAAAATTGGCATGAGCTAATAAAACAGAAAGGGATAATAATGACAAAGCAGTTACTATAATGAATAATGGTATAAAAATATACTTACTGAAAGGAAATTAAGTCCAAACTTTAGTCAAAAACACAAATTAAAAAATTGTTTTCAGACAAGATGATATAATTTTTAAAAACATTTGGAATTATATACACTAGTGGTGATTATTTTTGTGAGAGGAGGTATTTTTATCTTCTTTGTGCTCATTTGTATTGCTCTGATCTTTCTACAGTGAACAAGTAACACAACAATAACTCATAAGTCTCAGTTTTCTCCTTAGGAAGTCAAGCCTGAGGTACAAGCCTGTAGGTACAAAACTTATTTGAGGATGGCCATTAACCACAATTTCTAGTTATTTTTGATTTCTTGCTATTTATGCCAAGCATAAATTTGTAAGCAAATTCTTGGAACATATTTCAAGAAAGAATCAAGACAATCAGTTTCAAGCAAACAGATTTGTTAAACACATAGACACAAATCACTAGGCACAATGAATGCACATCTTTACCCAAAGAAGAGAAAGAGAACCTTTTTTTTTTTTAAGTTTATTTATTTATTTTTAGAGAGAGAGAGAGGAGAGGAGCAGAGAGAGAGGGAGAAAGATAATTCCAAGCAGACATGGAGCCCGATATAGGGCTTGAACCCATGAACTGTGAGATCATGACCTGAACCAAAACCAAGAGCCAGACGCTCAACCAACTGAGCCACCCAGGTGCCCCCAAAGAGAATCTGTTGTGTAAGTGTGATTGGTGAGAAAACTATCGTAGACTATTGCTTTAAAACTTGATTTACACTCATTCAAGGGATTACTTCTTCAGGATACTCATTTTATCCTGTCTTTCTTTTTTTTAATTTTTAATGTTTATTTTTGAAAGAGAGAGAGACAGAACATGAGTGGAGGTGGAGCAGAGAAAGAGGGAGACACAGAATCGGAAGCAGGCTGTCAGCACAGAGCCCGACTCGAGACTTAAACTCACGAGCTGTGAGATCATGACCTGAGCCAAAGCTGGATGCTTAACAGACTGAGTCACCCAGCTGCCCTTCATTTTATTCTGTCTTTAGGCTCATTTCACATTTGGTCAATATAGCAAACTGTATCAATCAGAATCACAACAGAAAACAGATGGCACAAATGGGGTAACTGAAGGGAGGTTCAAAAGGGGCAGTTTACAAAGAAGTGGGCAAGGCTCAGGGCTAGCAATATCAGAGAGGGGTTGAAAGAGTAGGGAGGAGGAGCTGTTATCGGAACCTTGAGAAGGTCGGTTGAGAGACGCAGGGACAGAGTGGAACAAAAGTCACCATACCTCTCATGTAGGACAGCTGTGCCCCCTCCAAGTGTTGGCTCAGCATTTCAGGCAGCTTCAACCTCAGGGCACCTCCATACCAGCACAAGTGTCCACAGTCCCCAGGCCAGGATAAGAGAGAGCGCAGAGAAGCCCACGCCAGCTCTTCAGTGCAGCTCACTGGAGGTGATGGGTCATGTCTGCTCGCATCTCATTGGCCAAAGCAAGTCATGTGGCCTTGCCCAGCTACGAGGGGCTGGGGAAGAATCCTCATATGCACCTAAAAGGCAAGGAGAACTAGAAACATTGGTGAAACACACAGAGAGTAGTCCCTGCTCTTTTATATTATGCTTCATTCCTTTGTATGAGAGACAGGCTCTTACCCAACCTTGGGACATACTCTAAGCTGTGCGGTCTCACGGTAGCCACTAGTCACATGCCAGTGACTGAGCACCTGAATGTGACTTGAGATGTGCTGTACTTGTAAAATATACCTCAGATTTCAAAGATGCAGCACCAAAAGAAGAATGTAAGATAGCTTATTAATGACTTCTAATATTGATTATAGGTGGAAGGATAATACTTTTGAAATACTGGGTTAAATAAAAATACATTATTATTTATTAATTTTATCTATTTTTACTTTAAAAAAATTTTTTTTAAGTTTATTTATTTCAAGAAAGAAAGTGTGAGTGGTGGGGTGGGGAAGAGGGAGAGGGAGAGACAGAGAATCCCAAGCAGGCTCCCCACTGCCAGCACAGAGCCCCACGTGGGCTTCAAACTCACGAAACTGAGATCACGACCAGAGCCAAAAAATCAAAAGTTGGACACTTAACCGACTGAGCCACAGAGGTGCCCCATCTATTTTTATTTTCTAAAATGTGGTTTCTAGATAACTTTGTATGCAGCTTCTGTTTGTGGTTTGCATTATTTTGCTATTGAACTGTGCTGTTCTAGAGAGTTCTCTTGGTTCCCAGGAGGGTTTCTAATAGAGAGAAAGAATTACCAGCTTCTGCTAGAATTCTCCATAGGATGAATCATTGCTTTAATTACTCCTGTAGCTAAGTAGCTACCCAAGTAATAAGGTTTTCTTCTTTTATTTTAATGTCTAATTTAAATTTCTTTATAAAAATTCAGGATCAGTTTTTTTTTTCTCTCCTCCATAAAGGCAAAGCACAGGTGGTTCATAGAGACTATTATTCCATGTAGAGTCTTTTTTATAAAACATATTTAAATGTCACTCAGTTTCATTAAAACAAAGGAGCCATTCAGCAAATGTGCTGCTTTTTTAGTTTCTTACTTTTTCATGGAAACTCATTTTGAAGACTTTGTCTACTTTTTTATTTGGAAAGAGAGTACAGAGAAAGTTGTTACCTTTACCTTTTCCTACATATCGAGAGCTGAAGTTGTTAGTTCTCAAATTTTCTTGGAAATATGGTCACACAGTAACTATTCTACAACCTGTGCCAGAGATGCCCCCTCCGTCCCTTCGGTCCCCTCCCTTCCCCTAGACCCAGCTCTCTGCCCCGGAGGCTGACCTGCTGGTCTACACTAAGTGGTCTGCAAGGGAGAGTTCTGGTAGAGACTAGAAGGGAGTGGAGCAGGGTCAGGGTATTTATTCACCTGCGAGGTAGCCTCTGGCTGTGTATTTAGGGTTGAGTCAGGAAAAGGGCAACACTCTAAATAGAAGAGTTTAATACAGAAATTAGAGTACTGACTGAGTGCCACTGCTCCCTTTCATGACTGCAGGTTCTACTGCTCACTCTGCTCAGCCTTGTGGGTCTAGGAGTGGTGACAGCTTTGCTGTTCCTACTCTCAGGTGACTGCCCTATCCCTTGTGACTCCCTAATAGTCCCCTGAGTGCCCTTGAAGTGAGCATGCCATCTGCATTCTACAGCAACCGCAACACCAGGTGCTCGGGCATCCTGTGGGAGGGCTACATCCAAACAAGAGGTCGTTGAGTGTCAGGACCCAGAGGGGCACCATTTTGAAGATATTTGCTCAAGTCTAGGAACATAAGATAGCTTTTCATATATTTCTGGCTGATATTTTTAAAAGCCTTTACAATGTCTTGTTGGAACAACAAACTCTAATATGACTAAGGTAAGAAAGAAAGTTATCAGGATGCATTTTTATATGTTGTAGTTTTTTTCTTTGGCAAAGAAATGTCAATATTTGAACCACACATTAAGTTCTATACTCATCAGTTCTTGGTCTTCCAAGTATATCCTGTACTTCTTAAAAAAATTTTTTTTAATGTTTATTTATTTTTGACAGAGAGAGAGAGAGACAGAGTGCGAGGGGGGGAGACACAGAATCTGAAGCGGGATCCAGGCTCTGAGCTGTCGGCACAGAGGCCGATGCAGGGCTCCAACTCACAAACCACGGGATCATGACCTGAGCCGAAGTCAGATGCTTAATTGACTAATCCACCCAGGCGCCCCTACTTGAACTTATTTTAGATGGGAGGTTGAAAAATTTACTTTGTTTCCCCACCTGTACAATGAGGAGTTTAAGACTAGATGATCTTAAATATCCCTGTGCACTAACATTCTGTAAGTCTATGATATTTCTGTCAAATTTGTAAAAGAGTTGTTTGGCTCAGGTGAGGTGAAGGTGCAACTGTTTTCAATTGTCCTGCATCTGGGCTCACCCAACACCAGCCACCTCTACCATGCCTAAGTTTGACCCCAACGAGATCAAAGTTGTATACCGGAAGTGCACCAGTGGGGAAGTGGTGCCATATCATTTGCCCTGGCCCAGTAGACTCGCTCCCAGGATCTGTCTCCAACAAACGTTGGTGATGACTTTGCCAAGGCACCAATGATTGAAAGGGTCTGAGGATTACAATGAAAATGACCGTTCAGAACGTACAGGCCCAGATTGAAGTGGTCCTTTCTGCCTCTGCCCTGATTATCCAAGCCCTCAAGGAACCGCCAAGAGACAGAAAGCAGCACAAAAACATTAAGCACAGTGAAAATACCTCTTTTGATGAGCTTGTCAACATTGCCCGACAGATGCAGCACCGATCTTTAGCCAGAGAACTCTCTAGAACCATGAAAGAGATTCTGGGAACTGCTCAATCAGTGGGCTGCAATGTTGATGGCTGCTACCCTTATGGCATCATAGATGACATCAACAGTGGTGCAGTATAATATCCAGCTAGTTAAGAACTACAAAGGTGGGGCGCCTGGGTGGCGCAGTCGGTTAAGCGTCCGACTTCAGTCAGGTCACGATCTCGCGCTCCGTGAGTTCGAGCCCCGCGTCAGGCTCTGGGCTGATGGCTCGGAGCCTGGAGCCTGTTTCCGATGCTGTGTCTCCCTCTCTCTCTGCCCCTCCCCCGTTCATGCTCTGTTTCTCTCTGTCCCAAAAATAAATAAAAAACGTTGAAAAAAATTAAAAAAAAAAAAAGAACTACAAAGGAAAACATTTCAATAAAGGATCATTTGACAACCAAAGAAAAAGTTGTGGGATATATTGGTGAGGTGAATGTGCAGACGTCTCTGGAGTATTGGGATGACTATTTTGTGAAACAATTTCATTTTCCCACTTGACCAAGAAAATCAGAGAATTATTTTTACCAATGCCCTTGAAAGCAGGACATAAAAGAATGCATGGTACTAAGAGCACCAAGCTTGGATCAGAGGTCAACAAATAATGGCCCATGAGCCAAAGGAAACATGCCACCTGTTTTTGTAAAGTTTTATTGAAACACAAGCCATGCTGAGTTGTTTATGTATGGTCTATGGCTGCTTTCTCACTACCATGCAGAATTGAACTGTTGTAACAGAAATTATATTGGCCCATAAATCTTAAAATGGTTATTATCTGGCCCTTTGCAGAAAAAGTTCGCCAATCCCTGGCTTAAAATATGTAAGCAGCTCTCTTTAAGCAAAATTCCCCACCTGGGTTTTTTAGAAGTGACGTACCCGAGACCCTAATAGTGGGTGATTAAATGTACAAATAAATGTCTATTTTGAAAGCACCTAAATTTTAACACTTGGTATGACACTTGAGAGGCAGCCTGGTAATCCTAGGATCTGATCCCAATTACATTCTTTACAAGCTTAACAATCTAATGAGAGTTACCTAATTTTTCTTAATTCTAAAATCCCATGAGCTAATACATGGAACACCTTAAATTTCTATCCGAAAGTCAAGAGTTATTAAATAGCAAGTTGACACTGCAGAAAAGGAAAATCTAGATCTATGAAGTCAGAAGGTTGGAAAATGCTTCATATGGGCACAGAGCTGAACATGCGATGTTCAGTAAATTATTGAATAACCATCTCCCTCCCAGTGGCCCTCATAAAGCCACTCTTTCAGCAAAAAAAAAACTTGAATCTCTCAGGCAGGTGACATGCTAGGAACGATGCATGGGAATGAGAAGCCAACAGTAGAATTTGGAGTGACTGCTGCCCGGCAACTGTGCGGACTAGGACCCTGGCCAGGAAGATACGGGGGTATCACAGCTCTCAAGCTACAAATGCGTCTGTAGTTGGCTCCATGAAGTTGCTCTGCAATGGAAGCTTCCAACTATGCATTCACAGGGGATTGATTTCCAAATGAGGAACAGACAACCTGCCGAGGAATACCTGTGTTCCTCAAATGTCAAAGCTGGAACTAGAAGGATTTAGAGATACACTGAAGGGGAAATCTTCAGGAACAGACTGAGGGTTAAAAGGATCATCCTTATGTATTTGTTTTCAGAACAAAAGCGTTTTTGCTTTGTTTTGTTTTGTTTTGTTTTAAAGATCATTACAAAGAAATCTAATTCTTCTCTTCTGGCTGGGCAGAGTTTAAAGTCCAACAACTCACTCCTATTTCTCTCCCTGAGCTGGAATTCAACAGATAAGAAGAGAGTCTTAATGATTAATCAGCTCAAGCGCAGCTCTAAAACAAGAAAGGGACTTTATTTTCATTTTAAAGATGAACAAACTGAGGCCCTGAGGTATCAAAACGCCTATTCGAGGTCATATAGTTCTTTTGTGCATAGTGAAAATGAATCCCTGGGGCTCTGATTTCCGCTGTACTCTTCTCCAAAGCATCCTGCTTCTCCAGAACTGAGAACTTAGGTAGACCACACTGGTCCCGCCACTGACCTACTGCATGATGTTGACATATTGGAGGATCTCTCTGTGGCTCTGTTTTCTCCTCCGTAAAATGGTCAGAACACCTACTTACCCCTCCTCATCAAGATGGTGAAGCTCAGCTGCGAACACAGACATGAAATTGTGATTCAGCGGACATGGCAGACACTTATTTTTCTGTATGAAACCC